TTCGAATATATAATCGAACACATATTCGAATACATAATCAAATACATATTCGAATAAATATTCGAATACATGAGAGGACACACAAATACAAAAAAAAAAACAAAATATTATTCGTAAACAGTCAAGCAATAGTATGAAACATGTAACGACATCGACATTATTCATATTTCATTGCTTCGAGAACAAAGGAAGACCCGGCGCTCCTTAATACGTACAAAAAAAGGAATTTTCTTAAAAATTTGTACATAATGTATTTATTATTAATTATATACGTATTATATGCGTATAATTATATATCTGATATCTGATATTATATTTATTAATTATTATTAATTATAAAAAACTTCCTACGTATATAAAAAAGTACGGTACCAGTTGAAGTTTTAATCAACTTTAACTGTTGTTTCTTCGTAACTATGAATTAAAAGAATGTGATTCTAAGAATTTTCATTTATGCGTAGAATTTACACCTAAGGAGTTCACAATCGATTCATTCGATTCAAAAAACATCTTGTATGAAAAAAATCTTTTTTTAAGATAGAAATTAAGTGATGATACATACTGTATCGGTATGCATTTAACGTTAAAAAAGATTGTTTGAACCGGCATATCATTACCGAATGCTGCAAAATTGATTATGTAGAAACATTAATACGTAAGACTTTTGCAAATAAAAAAAAAACCACTAATTTAATATGATTAAGTTGCTCATTAACAGTTACTGTTAACAGTTAACAGTTAAGAATATACGTACGTACGTACATGTACATGTATAAAGTGTTAAAACTTCTATCTAAACATTAATAAATCGTTATTTGAACTCTACGTATGTCTATGTTCATTGGCGCTGAACAAAGGTATGTATGTATACAATATATAGTTAACGTTAATAAGCATAATCATGTGTTTAAAAGGATCATACCGATACTGTATCTGTATCAGTATCAGTATCGATTCGATTCGGTATTGAACGATCATATGAATGTTTTTTGAGATTGTTTCATATAACCGATTATTAAAAATTAAAAAATAAGGTTCTTAAAAAAATTTTATGAATTTTTTCTTGAAATTATGGTTTCTATTAGACTTTATATAAAGTCTTTTGAAAAAAAAAAAAAAAAAAAACTTTAGTACTTTGAAGGGTTGAATTTGTGTAAAGCAATAAATAAAACAAATAATTTTCTATTAACAGTTAAATAAGTAGGTGGCCCTTTACACCTACGTACGTCCGTACGTACGTACATACATTATGTACTGTACTTACGTACGTACGTACATGTACTCACTGGAAAATAAGAATTCCGTGAAACCGAATAGAATAACCGAATAGAATAACCGAATAGAATAACCGCATAGAATCATGTCGTTGTTGGATTTATTGTATGTGCGTATGTACAGTACGTGCATACTTGCGTACGTACTGTACTAATTTTAAATAACGGGTTAATAATGATTTAGAAGGCAAATTTGAAGTTTCTAAAACTCCTTTGTACATTATTGTATTATTGAGATACGTATTGTTATTCTTTCAAATGTTATGTGCTTTTGCCCCAACCACTAAAACTTAACCTTTGATGAATAACCCGAGTATCATAAAATAACTACTGTTGCGTGCCTTGATGCGTGCCTTGATGCGTGCCTTGATACGTATAAGGACATAAACGTTAAATAAGCACTGTTCAAGTCTTAATATGCACTTAATTAGTAAATGCATGCATATGCAAAATATTGACAAGCTGCAGAATTTTTTTATTCTTAAAATTTTGACATTTTCCCGGTAGGAATTTATCTATATTATGTTTATGTTTAGTAATATACCTTATAATATACCTTATATTACTAACAAGCCTCCTATTTTTGGACAATTACCAAAAATTTTTCACAATAAGTATTTATTTGTTACTAAATTAAAATTTTAGCATTTCTCCGTTCATCTTGCTATATGTAAAAAATTCATGTTTCAACTTTGACGTACTGTATTAATTTAGAATTATATATTTTATTGGTTTACAAAATATTTTATCACATTTTTAGCATATAATCAGTAAGTATATTATAGTGTTACTAAACTTAAGTTCAATATCTTGTCTTTGAGATTCTTTAGTTTATATATTTAAATAATATCATTGAAACAATTATTGTGATGTCTGAAACTAAAATTGGCTAAAGCCAAAAATTTGATCTATTATTTTATGAAAATTTAAAATTTTAGTAGGTGTTAGTGTTTCTCAGTTCAATTTAGGTTTAGGTTTAGGTTTAATTGAACCTGAACTAAACTTTAAATTTGCAAATCTTTGAACTTAAACCTGAACTGACTTTAAATTTATAAACCTGAACTGAACTTGAACTTGACTTAAAAAGTTTAATATTAAATTTGAATTAAAAATATTCAAGTTTAGTTTAATTTTAAACTGAACTTGAACTTGACCAAAAGTTTAGTTCAGTTCAGTTCAGTTCATAGAAACACTAGTAGGTGTAGGTTTTATGAATATAAATTGAGACTTCAAATTTTTAGCTTTAGCCAATTTCAGCATCATACCAACAATAAGTTATTACACATAACAAAGTATTTGTTTTTAAAAATTGATTCTTACTGTAATTCTAAATTAACATATAATTAAAATATTATAATTTTTAGCTTATTAATTAATACTTTCAAAAAAAATTCTTTTTAAATATAATTTTGTTTTTATTAACAGTTAAGGTTTAATAAAATTAAATATACTTAATTTAAATTAGCAAATAAATTTAGAACTCCATTTTAATAAATCCACTTTTGGTTTAAATAAAACCATTGTAGATTTAAATAAACAAATTTTATTCTAAATAAAACCTACTTGGATTAACTTTGAATATTTACTTAATCTATTCTAAACTCAATTAAAGAATACGTATTCAAATAAACCCACTTTGAATTTAATTAAATCCACTTTTGAATTACTTTGAATTTAATTAAATCCACTTTTGAATTACTTTGAATTTAATTAAATCCACTTTTGAATTACTTCAAGTTTATACAAACCTGTATGAAGCATGAGTTGCAGCAATTCGATATATAAAATCTGACCATAAATGCACGGTATAGCTCGGTAATACAGTATCTCAAAAATTCTACATTTTGCTCTCTATAAATGCACACCCTTTCTAAGTGCACATTTGTTTTTTTTTACTACGGTCCAGAGAGGGTAAATTTATAAAGGTTTGACTGTATTTAAAAATTATACTATTGTTTTTATGACCGCCAAAATAATTTTAAACAATTTAATATGCTTTCAAGCCAACTTAATAACAATAGACACCCTATATACGTAAACTATAAATATCTTATAAATATATAGTTTTTTGTTTTTTTTTTTTATTATTAATTTAGTTTGAATTTTTATTAACGCTTCTTTAAAAAAAAAGTTGACGTCATTAAGTGAGAACTATTGTAATTTCTACAATAATTTCTATTTAGTACACGTTACTCTGGTTATTGACAATTTTTTCATTAGTAAAAAAAAACTTCAAATGTCAATACAGCGAGTTATATCGACATTTTATATTAAAATTTTGAATATAGAAAGATTTTACTATAATGTCGTTATATCCAGATGTCGGTATAACCAGAGTGAAGTGGGATCTCTTGCAGTATAGATGACGCCATTAATAAAATATATTATTAATCAATTGATTTAGAATAGGTGTCACTTATACTGCAAAAAGATCCGTGAAAGTATTATTTACATTTGTTCCATCGCATTATCTTCAATTAAATCTCGAGCAACTGAATTAGCAATTTCTCGACGAATCTCCGGGGTGATAAGATGATGAAACTTGATTTTAACCAACTCAAGAAGCGCATCTTTTTGGTCAGGTGATAAATCTTGTTTATATCTATTAGAAATAAAAAACCATCAGAAGTATCAGAAGTCAAAATCAAAAAAAAAAAAAGATTTAAAAAACTATACATATAAATAAACCACTTTTAAATACCTTTGAACAAATACTAAAAGTGATTGATGCCATAGTACTGGCATAGTTCTTTCATCATTCTTAAATCGAATAAAATGAAACACCAGTGCGTCTACTACTTTGAAAGGTAACGCATATTTTTTATCAAGTAATATGCGAATAAATATACTAGTGGGTCCCGTATACTCCATCTCGGCGAGACGTAACAATGCGGCCGAAGAGTGAAGCATTGGAATGCTTACTTTTAATATTACACTTCCAATAATAGCTGCCTCTTTTAATGTGCACGTACCAGACTAAAATAATTCATTCGATAATATTAATTGTGTGATAATATTAATTTCAAATTGAAAGATCGACATGTGTGATATTGTTGATATTGTTACTACTTACCTCGCATAGTGGAAACAAGATACCTTTGAAAAAAGCTGCTGGTTTGTATAAAGCTTTCTTAAGAGCCATATACAAATGACAATTAAGCTTCTTAGTTTCACGTATGTCGTCCCGAACTTTATCTAATAAGACGAGATCAAAAAATCTACATGTTCATAATCGAATAATTAGCATTCATAATAATAAAATTGTTTCAAACGATTAAAGTTATAAAATATGCTTAAATGTTGCGTAACATCTAATAGCATTTAATTATGCAAATGTTAAACTTACCTTTGCGTCTGTTTAGCTTTAAGATTTGAAACAAAAATTCTCGTTGCTTGAAGAGTAGCATGTGGAGTCCAATTTTCAGGATGTGTAATATATAATATCTCTTCCCAATTAGGCAATGACGGGATTATTTTGAATGCTTTGGGAAGTTTTCCTGACTTGTATCGACTCAGTAAGGTACCAACTCTAATATTTGAATATGTTAAATATCAATCTTCTTAACCTGTAGAAAATAAATCCACAAAACTTACTTTGTATATACCTCAACCACTTTTGGATTTATCGAAGATTGGCCGCTTTTCACTTTAAGATAAATGTATCATATTAAATATTAATATATAAAAATAAAATAATTATAAAATAATTATTAATAATAATTATATCTATATATTTTTCCAACCTATCAAACTTGATTGATCCAATGTTTGCAAGGCAATCTTTTCCATTATTATATCTGACAAAGTTTTCCTCTCTTTTGGTGCATTAGGCATAAATTTATCGAGAACTTGTTGATCCGTTTCATCTATTTCCTACGCATTGAATAATGATCAAATTACAATTTTCATTAAAGAAAACGTACCAAAATAAAAAGTAATTAACTTACTAATTCGTCATATTCAAAATTATCACCATCATCTGAAAAATTTTCATCTTGATCGCTTTCATCATCTATCATGGAGTAAAGCATTCGATTTTGATCATTTTTACTATTTGGTATGTAATATCAAAAATTAATAAACAATTCTTATGGCTGTTTAGATAATAACCTATTTGTAAAAAAAAAAAACATTGTGTCATGCTGAACTTTGCAATTCGATAATTACAACTTATGCATTTGATCCTCCAACTCAAGTTCTTCCTGTTGCTCTCTTACAATTTGAAGGATTTTCCGTGAAAGGTCAGGTTCAGTATATTCCTTTAATATAAAATATATAGTCATTATATAAATTCTTATAATAAATAACGAACAAATGCGAAAAATAAAATTGTAGTACATCTTCCTCATCCTTTTCTTGTCTTCGAATACTATATTTTTCTTTGTAACGCTTTTTGTTAGGTAATTCATCCTCTGCAAGTTGAACGTGAAGAGGATTATGTCGCTCTTTTTTCTGAATGCGTTCTTTCCCCATTTTACGTAGAATATTAAAACTTTTCTTAACACATCACTTTTTTTTTTTTAATGTAGATAATCTGAATCTGAACATGACGAAAGTTTTATTTCATTGGTTGCTACTCTGATTGGTCGGATCATATTGATCATAAATTCCAAATTATTAAATCTATCGCTATGTTAACAGAAAATATATATTTAATGAATTGCTTTTATCGTTCCTTTTAAAGTAATAGAACGTTTTTTTATGTATAAGTTAAAGGGAACACTGTTAAACGCTAATTAATGTTAAGGTAGTAATAGAGTTGGGGCACAGAGGCATGGGCATCCCCTAGGCAGGGTTGGCAATGAAGCCGATGGAGTTCAATGGTTATGCGAATGGAGTTCAAAAAACTAGTATCCATTGGCTCCATTCAGAACTCCATTGATTCCATTCGCCCCTAAGGTAGAGTAGCTATCCGATCTGATGCGGATATTATTTAAACAGATATATCCGAACCTGATATTAGAACGGATCGGATTATCCGTTATCTTTTTACAGATATCCGATTAATATATTTTTCGTAACAATAATTATATCGCAATAATCACAGTAATAATTTTAGTTAAATTTACAAATATATTTATGTAGACATAACAACTAGCTTAAATAATAATTGATAATACATTTATAACATAGAAAATTACTAACAGGCACAGGACATGTCGACTGGGGTAAAATCGCCACCCAAAAAAGTTTCGAACATTACGTGACAAGTATATCGAGCACCAAAAATCCATGTAACTTGAACAAAAAAATATAAAAAAAATAATAGACTAACAAAATAATAACGATAAACAATAAATTAAGCATTTTATTTATTTCGAATAAATTCAGTAAACATATTATTTATTACAGCCAGAAAGTATTATGATTATGTTTTTTCAAATATTTGGAAGATTCCATTGCCTTTTAAAATGATTATAATCCTCTTCCAATTTATGCAATGGCTCAAAGTTTTTA